AACACATTGTTCCCGTGGATGCTAAAGTCACCCAGAATGATGGCAGGGCTTGGGGGACAGAGGAAGCCATGAACCAGGTGCCAAGTCTTTGCCAAAAGAAGGGTGTGATCAGGACCTTGGAGATGGCAAGCCACTAAGGGAGAAGGTAGACCCCAAGGAGAAGGGCTTTTACAGGAGAATAGTTGGAGCAGCAACTGGGACCAGGGAGGGCATCCATGACACCTCCCAACTCTGAGGGGTGACAAAGAATAAGCAGCCCATCCTGGAGAGGATGCAAGGGAAGCGGGGCCTCAGGCAGGGCACAGGACCCAGGGGAGCTTGCTGACTGTGCTGGTTAGGGCAGTGGTTGCAGAAGGCACAGAGGGAGGTGGGCAATGGCCAGGAGCTGGCTCAGGAGCACAGAATCTCAGAGCATCTCCTGTGGATTGATGGTCTGTTATAAGACGGATGGGACCTGTTGCCAGCAGAGAGGGTAGATTTGGGTCATAACTGATCAACACTAGAAAGACAGCCTAATGGATTTAGCTTCTCTGAGGAGCTGCCCTGGGCCTGGTGGCCAGAGGACTTCTCAGCTTGACATATGCAAAACCCCAAAACAGCCAGCTTGCCATTGTGACTACATATTGATTGATTCTTTCATTCAACAAATATTTATTCACCACCTACTATTAGTGAAAGCACAATTCAAAGCACTTGGGATATATCAGTGAGAAAAACAGCCCTCAATCCCTGCCCTTGTGGAGGGGAGACAGATAATGAGCAATAAACATAAATATTTTTTATATAACGTGTTGGTAATATGTGCTATGGAAAAAATAAAAACAGAACAGGATGAGGGACTGGAAATGAAGATGTGGGAAGGGCTGCAAGTTTAAATATGGTGTTAAGGGTAGACCTCCATGAGAAGGGGCTGTTTGAGCAAAGACTTGAAGGGCCAAGGGAGCGAGCCATGTGGCTATCTAGGGGAACACCACTCCTGGAAATGGGAAGAGCCAGTGCAAAAGATCTGAGGCAGGAGAAGGGCTACCGTGAAGTCATTAAGGGGGAGGTCAGGAAGGAAACCAGCATGGGCTCAGGTCAGTAGGATCTTAAGGGACCTGGGGGAGCCATCAGGGGATTCGAGCCATGGAGTCACATGGCTGGACCTTGTCTTCAAAAGATCCCTCTGGCTGCTCCACTGGGAATAGACTAGGGGGACATTGGGGTGACAGCTGTGGAGGTAAGAAGAAGGGGTCAGATTCCGAACCTGCAGCTCTGTTTAATACTGTCTTTTCCATTAATTTCTGTGCTCACACCTGCCTTATTTCCCATGGTATCTCCAGCACCTGGTGTCCTTTAATGTCCTTGGGAGGCTGCTGTCATTCATTCATTCATTTCACTTTATAAATATTTATTGAGCACCTATTATGTGCCAGGCATAAATACAAGGGTACTTCAAAAAGTTCATGGAAAAATAGAATTAAAACATGATACAAATCTTTCCATAAACTTTTTAAAGTATCCTCATATAAATAATGTCCAACTCAGAGAGACAGCAATCATTTGGGATTTATAATTTCTAGACCAACAGGAGACAGTCTTGGTATTTAACAGGCACACCAGGAACATCCTCTAAGCCACACAGAACTCTTAGTGTCCAGGCTCAGTGGGACATTTCATCAAAGAATCACAGGCCAGCCCCCAAATCATTCTAATCTTTCTATGTGCCTCTTAGAGAATAGGAAATGGGACCCAAGTTTTAATTCCAGTCACCCTTCTTAAAAAGCCTCTTTCCCACCCTCCCCAGTCTTCCCTGGGGCTGCTCTTAGGTCCTTGCTGTCTAAGTTCCTTCCTCCCTGTTCTCCCGGTCCCAGCCCCATTTCATCCCCTTTCTGTTTTCTCTGCCCTTTCCAGCCATTTTCCAGATTCAGCATCCCAAAAGTCAAGGAACTGGACAAAGACAGGTTGTCTGGCAGATCAGGGAAGGAGGTGGGAAAGGTAACCACATAATAAATGTTGACCCCAACACATTGAATCAGCCCTGCTCACACCGGACATCATTCCTAACACCAAGCCCTGGCTTCTCTCCGCTGGCCTGGAGATGCCATTGGTGGCTCCGTCCCTGTCCCTGGGTGTTCCTGTGGTCTGATACCCACTTGAGGCCCAGGTCGGGTTGGAACTGGAAGGCAGGACACTCTGCATAATTCATTCTGGTCCCCTCTCTCACAGGGATGGTCCCAGGCTCCTCCTAGGTGAAAGTCCTGCACAAGCACCCATTGTCCTGCTGGTGTTCCAGGCACCCCAGACTCACACCCCAAACCAAACCCATCTCTCTAGGCTTCGATGTCCTCTTCTGCAGAAGGACAATACTTCCCTTATAAGGTTTTATGAGGATTAAATGAGATAATATGCATGCCTGGCACATTTTCATTGTTCAATAGCTTCCAGCTGTCATTACTATGTTTGTCCACCCACTCCCAAATTTCCTCTGCTGCTAGATTATGAGCTCCTTGAGGATGGTGCTGTGTCTTCCCTTTGTATCCCCAGAGGCCAATTCAGTGTCTGGAATATAGTAGGTGCTTATCAATGCTGGATGAATGGATGAAAAATATGCCTTAACTAGGCCCCACAGGACTTAAAGTTTCCTCTTTCAAAGAGGTTCTGACATTCTTAAAGCATCGGTTCTGAGGGAGTCTGCCTTTGTTATCAGACATCTCTCAGCCATGCTCCACTCGCCGGGGCGACAGGCAGTGTGGGAAGACTGGGTTGGATAAGATGCCCTCAGCCAAACTCCACCCCAAGATGAACTAAAGCTGAAGTCCAAGTTCGCCACACTCTGGGTACCAGTTCACTGAAGCTGCATTCCCCAATCAGCATTCTGGACAGGAGTGAACCAGGCCAAGAAGGAGGAGGCGGGAGGGTGGGTGGCAGGAGACAGGGCAGGAAATGAGCTCTGCCATCTCGTTCTGTCCCTGGGGAGTAGCCAGGCTTTGCTCTGGCCACCAGGACAGACAACTCCAGAGAGAAGGCAGCCGGGGATACAGCAGCTCCCTCCTGCTCCTTACCTGCCTCCTGCTGTCAGTCAGCCAGACAGGAGATGAGCCAGCCAGGGCTGAGAGCTGCCGGGGCCTGAGCCACAAGGGAGAAAGTAATTAAAAAGACACTGCTGTCCTGATGGGGTGCGGGAGCACCTGAAGATCTTGGCTGGGGATATGGAGAGGACTTAGGGGGGAAGAGTTTCTTTCTTTGAGGAAGGACAGAGCAACCAGCACTCATTGAATAGCCTTGCAAATAAGTGGCAACAGGCTACCAGCCCATGGAAGCTTTGCTGGCTCATATACCACAGAAAGGAAAACCCACAGAGAACCTGACCTCAAACTTGTATTTCACGCCTTTTGTTTCACTTTGGGTCCCATTCCCACCCCGCCCCCCAAAGGCATGTGATTACTTGGGAGGGTCTCGGCAGCCTAAGAGATCATCGATTCATTGCCCTGAGAAGTGCTACAAAGGCCTGTGTGCTGGAAGGGTGAAAGGCATTTGTTCTTTCATTCATTCCGTCAGCACTGAGGATACAATGGGAAGCAGACAGAGGCATGGTGTCTACGCAGTGCAGCACGCAGAGCACACGCAGGCAACAAAATAATCTCACAGACAGAAAAACTACAGACCAGCAAACTGATAGAAACACCCTGCGGAGAGGAACTTGGCTCTGTGAGAGGGAGGGCGGAGCCCGCTGGCCTCCCTGCAGAGGGGACCTTCCTTGACACGGAAGGAAAGGTAGGTCAGTAGATTAAAAATGGGTTGTGGGGGCCGGCCCGGTGGCGCACTGCTACAGTACGCCGCTTGGGAGCTCAGTAGCGCTCCCTCCGAGGGTTCGGATCCCACATACAGACCGGCCGCTCACTGGCTGAGCGAGGTGCAGGCGCGACACTGAGGGTTGCGATCCGTTGCTGGTCACGAAAAACTACAAAAAGGAAAAAAAAAAAAATGGGTTGTGGGGCGAGCCTTCCAGGTCGAGTGGCAGGCACCACCAAGGTGGAAAGAGCAGGACACATTTGAGGAATGGAAGCTGCTGAGACCGACTAAGCATGTTTGGGGATGACAGGCTGGAGAGGGCAGCAGAGGTCAGACCACACAGGACCCCCAGCCACCTGAAGGGTTTAGGTCTCTGACTGAGGAGCAATGGGAAGCCAGTGGTGGGGAAAAGAGGGGGACAGGGGTGGTGAGACCTGTCCAACTTGTGTGTTGGCACGTTCATTCTGGCCACTGGGTGGACAAGGGATTCCACGGGGAAGAATAGATTCAAGAGGCTGATTAGGAGCTGGGGATGGTGGTGGCTTGGGATAAGGGTGCTGGTGGCAGAGAAGGAAAGACATGGGTGGATGCAAGTGCTTTTCCAGAGGCAGATTGGGTGTGGGGGGTGTTGAGAAAGAGGTGCCAGAAGTGCCTCCCAGCTTTCTGGCCTGCCCACCTGGAGGGATGGGGACCCCCTCACTCTGGTGTCCTTTGGGAGTGTTCTCACTTCCCTCATATCCCAAGTGCTGACTGTAGTGGGTGATCCACTGAGGTTGGAGGAAGGACTTGGTGAGCCATTCTGCAGAGGAAACATCTGAGGCCCAGGGATTATGGCCTCACAAAGGAAGGGGGCAGAGCCTGAGTCCCTCCGCTCCCATCCCAGCATGGTCTGTTGGGGGGATTCTAAGCAGGATGTGAAGCTGTTTGAGTTCTAGCCCTGACTATGCTCCAACCCACTGCGTGAATCCGGGCAGGTCACATGTCTTCAGGCCTCAGTTTCTCCACCAGTGGAATGGAAAAAAAGAGCATGACCACTTCTCTTCTCAGGGGTGATTGACAGTTTTCATGGTGTCACGAATGGGGGTGTTCTTGAGGAAAATAGAGAATGGCGCTCTGATTGCCTGGGAGGTCTGAAATGGGAAAACTGGGTTAAGGAAGGATGGGGGCCTCCCCCACCTCCTGCCTTTCGTGTGTCTTGCAGGTCCTGAAGGCTGAGTAGCAGCAGGATGCCTGGCCTGCTGAATCGGATCACAGGGGCAGCCCTGCCCCTCACCGCATCTGACGTCACCTCCTTCGTCAGTGGTTATGCCCTGGGCCTGACTGCCTCCCTCACCTATGGCAACCTGGAATCCCAGCCCTTCCAGGGTAAGGACCCCTGCTGGGGATTCCCAGGGCCACCCCTTTCTCCACATTGAATCCCTGTCCTGACACTTAATAGCTGATTGACATTGGACAATTCATGTGACCTCTCTGAGTCTCAGTTTCCTCATTTGTAAAATAGGAATTCCATTTCTGCCCTGCAGGCCTCAAAGCTAATAACAAGGATGGTCAGGATTGGAGCTGAGGAGGTTTGAGCTTAGCCCAGCTGACTGTCCCAGCACCCTTTATTTTCCATGAGGCCCACATACTGGGTGGAATGGTCAGTCTCCCACTTTCTCCAGGGAGCCTCCCAGTAGGAGAGGCATCGAGAGTCAGTCACAGCCAGGAGCCCCCTGTCCTATGCATAGTTCTGGCTCCTATGACCTTGGGGAAGCCACTATCTCCCTCAAAATCAGGATGCTTCTTTCTGCCTGTCCGGACGCCAGGGGATGTGGGGAGGAGCTGATGAGGTAATGCACGAGGAAGGACAGCGCGGACCAGAAAGCAGTCTGCAATATGAATCATCAGCGTGAGCGGTTGGGTGTGGACAGACCTTTGCCCACAAGAGTCGTTTGCAAATCCAGCTCCTCTCCTTCCACTTCAGGAAGAGAATTAGAAGAAGGCTTACCAGAAGGGTGCTGTGTCGAGGTTAGTTAGGGTCAGGATTCCCTTCTCATCCGCAGTGATGGGGCCTCCCACCACCAACCTGCATGTCTTTGGGCACCCACCTGCAGTCCCACCTGTAACCATTTCAGGGCTGCCCGAGGGCCGACACTGCCTGAAAAGAACCTTCAGGAAAACTTTCTTCCCCTTAGAAATCTCCTGGGCAGAACAAATGGCCCTATTCCTCTGTTTGAGGAAATCTAGAGCGGGTGGCTTAAATCAGGACCCACCTGGGGACCCAGGAGACTAAATTACTGAACAACTTCAAGACAGTTCTCTGGCTTTCCACGTGCAAAATGAACAAGCCTCCCCACTTCATAGGTGAGGAAACTGAGGCTCAGAGGGACAGGAAATCAGGGCTTGTGGACCCAGCATTGTGCAGTTCCAGCATTAGAGGATAGATTAACCAGACCTGGATATTCCAAGCGTGGTCTGGAGCCATCAGCGTCCCTCAGAAGCCACTTAGAAATGCAGAATCTCAGGCCCCGCCCCCGACTACAGAACCTGAATCTGCATGTTAACAGGCTCCCAAGTGATCCAGGTGCTCCTGAAGTCTGGGAAGGAGTAAAATGCAGACTGTGCAGCGTGTACTATTGGGCACATGGCTGAACCAATGGGGTGAATTTTTTCGATTCTCACAAACACCCTGTGAGTTTGGCCTTGTCAACGTCTTACAGACAGGCCGTGAGGTTTAGAGAAGCTAAAGGTCTTTTCCAAGGCCACCTGGCTCAAATCACGGTGGGGTCTGGATTAGAACTCTAGTCTACTTCCTCCACAGCCCCAGCCCTCAGTGCCACAGGTGTCACACTGGTGGCCCAGGGACCAAATCCACCACATAGACATGTTTTATTAGGGTTACACAACAGGTCACAAAAAATCCAGGTTTCCTCTCTCTTTTGGAAAATCAAAAGTTCTGGCCACACCAAGCTCGCTTGCCTGCAAAGTTAGAGCTGGCTGGAACGGCGGGACAGCTGCCCCTTGTCCAGTTGTCCTGCTGCTCACATAGTGCCTGCCACTGCACTTACCCACCCAGCACCCAGAACCATGAGGTCCCAGCCTGCCAGTCTGCCGAGTCTTCTTGGCATCCTCTAAGTAGCAGTGAGTACCATCTGTCTGGCAGGCCAGAGGCTTGGGTTCCTTTCCAGGAGCAGGGTGTGCACGGTGGGGCTGGGCACCCCACGATGCTGGGCCCCACTCCGGCAGGCCTCTTCGTGTACCCACTGGATGAGTACACCACGGTGATCGGCTTTGAGGCGGTCATTGCCGACCGCGTCGTGACCGTACAGATCAAGGACAAAGCCAAGCTGGAAAGCAGCCACGTCGATGTCTCCCAGGTCCGATCCGCAACTGTCACAGGTAAGGACACCAGAAGGGCTGTGGCAGGACCTGCACCTGGAGCCACAGGTAGACTGCAAAGGCAGCCAAGGGGTAGAGTAGAGAGAGCACTGAACTAGAGTCAGGAATCCTGACATGCAATCCTGTGTGACATTGGGCCAATAATTAACTTCTCTGAACCTTGTCTTCACTGTCTGTAAAATAGTCAATTGTTCCTGTTCTTATCTCAAAAGTGTGGTGAGGATCAAAGGAGGAGAGTCAACAAAAGGGTTTTTAAGATCTCTTCGGAGAACAGAATAGCACATTATTTAAGCTCAGAAGCTGTGAAATGAGTCACTATCCTGATGCTCACAAGCAGTGTGAGCTTAGATAAGAAATTAACCTCCTCTGTAAAAGGGAATAAATAATTATACCCACCCAGTGCTCACCCAAGACAATGCACACAGAGCACTTACATCCCAGTAGATATTCAAAGCATAGCTACTGATGTCTGCTATTGAGGAAACTGAGGCTCAGAGAGGGAAAGTGACAGGCTCAAGGTCACACAGCATTAGTGGCAGAGCCAGGATTTGAACCCAGAGCAAATATCTTATGACATAAGAGATAATTACCATTGGATCTATGATAGAGATGAAGTTTGCTCACTTGTTTATTAAGATCTTCAAGAATCTTTTAATGACCAGTCGCATGTGTAAGGTACAAATTTGCCCTCACATTGTCATGATTTCTCATGGCCTTGAAGCATAGCTAAGACATGCCCAGGAGTAACCATGATGGGGGGTCAAAAATGGCTATGCAAAGAGAGGCCTTGACAATGTCAGAGAAGGAAAGAGGGGTCCAGATTGGGCACCAGTGAGGTTTTCATGGAGGGGTTGGATGGATGGGTAAGATTGGCCACGTAGGGATGAGGGAATGGGCTTTTCAGATAACAGGAAAGAGCATGAGCAAAAACATGGATCCCAGAGGTAGGAGATGCTTCAATTTTGTGCTTGGCAGGAGAGTAGAATTTGCGGGATAGAGATGTGACCCTCTGTTGGGGTTTCTTGTAGATCCAAGTCTCCCACTCCCAGCAAAGTACAGTGGAAAGTACACAGGCCTGGACTCAGAGCCATGTGGTTTCAGATCCTGGTTCAACAAGTTAGTTATTTGTTTAGTAACTTAGGCAAGTCCCACCCCCATGCTGAGCCTTGGTTTTCCCATCAGCAAAATGGGGCTACTGAATCTTATCCTACAGGAAGCTTAGAGGGGATCAGAGATAATATATGCTCAGCCCCTGACGCCAGTCTGGCACTTAGGGAACATTCTGCAAGAGGGGGTTTCCATCACCCCTCATTCCTGCACACCAGGAAAGGTAGCCTTGGATGAGGATTTGGAGCGAATCCTGTTTGTGGTCAACCTGGGGACCATTGCCCCCATGGAGAACGTCGCCATCTTCATCAGCACCTCTTCGGAGCTGCCGACGCTGCCCAGCGGGGCTGTGAGGGTCCTTCTGCCTGCTGTCTGTGCCCCGATCGTGCCCCAGTTCTGCTCCAAGAGCACTGACCCCTCCAACCAACAGGCCCAGGGGTAAGGAGGCCCTGCCCAGACCAGGGTCAGAGTCTTGGGTGGGTGGCAGCAAGTGTAGCAGGTGAGGTCCGCAGGGTGTGGGGTGGCGGAAAAGGTGAGGATCTGCTCTATGGTTGCCACCTTCTGAGTCATTTCCTCCTCTCCCACTCACTTTTAGAGCACTTAAGAATGTCCCTGAAATGCCTCTGTATTGGTACTGGCCAGATCTTCTGGGATTTGGACAGCTTGGGATCAGAATTTCAAGGGCTTATTTTTTAATTCACTCAAGAGGTATTTTCTTAGCACCTGCGATGTTCTAGACACTGGGCTGGGTGTTAAGGATAGGGAGGGAATGAAACTAACATGGTTCCTGCCCTTTTGGAACTTGGTAGAAGGACCATTATCCAACTGATAACACAGCTAATGTGTAACTAATTATTTACATACTCAAATGCATAATTATGTGAAAAGTGCAATGAAGGAGAAGTTCACTGGGCTAAGGTATAAAAGAGAGACCCCACCTGGGGGTCCTGGGGCCAGGCCAGGCTCCTCTGAGAGCTGAGCAATGAGGAGGATGTAGGCACAGAGAGAAGCATGCCTGTGTGGAGAACAGCAGGGGCAAAGGCCCTGGGGTAGCAAGGACAGGGCCCCAGAGAGAAACTCAAGTGCGGGTGGCATGCGATGAGGCCGCAGAGGCACAGGACACTCTGTGGCCCTGGCAAAGATTTTGGGCTTCTCCCCCTAGCAACAAGGAGCCATTAAAAGGGTTTTCAGCAGGGCAGGGAGGGGAATCCAACAGGTCTAGTAGCCAGACAGTTTCTCTGCACTCCCCTGGTGGAGAAGGAGGAGAAAGGAGATGGGTCTCAGCCTGAGGCACCCACAGCTGAGTCTATTTTCTACCCAAGAGCTACAGGGGACAGAGGAGACAAGGTGGGGTGAGTGCTTTTTTAACTAGAATAGACAGGGATTAGGCAACATCCATGGCCTGACCTGAATGCAGGGAGCAAGCCATGGAAATATCCTGGAGGAAGAACATTTCAGGAAGAGAGAGTAGTAAGTGCAAAGGCCCTGAGGCAGCAACAGGCTTGGTGTGTTTGAGCAGCAGCAGAAAAACTAGCATGGCTACAGCAGAGGGAGATGACTCATATGGCTATAGCAGAATGGGAGAGGAAAGGAGCAGAGGTCAGAGAGGTGGCAAGGAGTCAGATCATGTAGGGTCTTGAAGGCCAGCATGAGGACAGGTAGCACAACAGAGAAGCCGGTGGCACAAGCCAGTCTATACCAGGGAACACCAGCCTGTGTGTTGTCTTGACAAGTCCTGCCATTGGCTACAAGCCTTGTGCGTTTCGAGGTGGGGCCTAGCTGGGACATTCAGGACCTAGGTAGATCAGGGAACAAGAGGCTCGGGAGGCCCTGATGCCCCTGAACGGGCCCTGGTAAGCTTATGCCCGCCCATTCTAGCAGGCAAAGTTAGTAGTGGCACTCTTGGGTAAAACTTGTGTCAAATCCCAAGGAACCTCAAAATTGCTTAGACAGAGGGACACAAGAAAGAATAAGAAAAACAGACGATACCAGTTGTTAGTGAGGACACAGGAGAAGGGAACCCTCTCTCACAGCTGATGGAAGTGGGAACTGGAACAGCCAGCCTGGAGAGCATCCAGCGATGCTCGGCATGTGCTCTTGACCCAGGGATCCCAGAGAAATTCTTTCACAAGTCCAAAGGGAACAGGGACAAAGATATTCCTGGTGGTGGTATTTGCAGATGCAGGAAGGTGGGGGCAGGAACACATAGTACAATGTAGTGGATGTCCCCAAGGGACACATGTTAGCCACGAGGACCTTGGTTTACAGCCACCTGGACAGAGCTTAAAAATACAGTGTGGAGTGAAAAAAAGTAAGAGATTGAATGAGATTCATAGCATAAGGCAATCGTCAGTTTAAAACAAAGTCATACACAAGTGCCACCGCATACTTTACAAGAATATGGACATATATCAAAGACCTTAGAGGGGGTGCCTATGGGGTTGGGGGGGACAGAAGAGCATCAGAGATGGGGTGGGGAAGCACAAAGAAAAAGGGCCCAGAAACTGGAGCATTCAGCAGGCGACAGACCATAGCTGAGTAGCCACTCACGGAGTCCTCCAGACAACTGTATAACTATTGTTCCCTTGAATGGATGAGAAAACAACACTTAGAGGAGAAGTGACTTTTCCAAGGGTTCCCAGGTCACAGAGACAGAGCAGGGATTCAAGAGGTGTTGTGGCATAGTGCAGACCCTGTCTTCATGGAGCCAGGCAGACGCGGGCCAGGATGCCAGCTCTGCCAAGTCCTAGTTGTGGGAACGTGGGCTGCTCACCTCCTCTCGGAGCTGCAGTGAGAACGATGTCAGCTGATTATCTAGAGCCCTCTACCTGGTTCCTGGCCTTTGCAGGTGTTTCCAGGGGAGCTGCACCTTACGTCTGAATTCAGGCTCCTTCTGGGGTCAGTTGAGTGGGAGAGGAAGGGTCTGGGGGTGGGAGACAACCCCTCAGCCCCCTCAGCGGGCCGGGCTGCTGGGAAGTCACCGTCCTCTCCTTGTCTCCTCACGCTGGCCCTGCCTCTGCCCTGGCTGAGCCTCCTCCTCCCCTCGGCTCCTCCCTAGCAAGGACAGACATTGCTTTGGTGCCCAGGCCCTGGACTCCTGGAACAAGTTGTGCCTGGCGACTCTCCTGGACACTGATGTGTCCAACCCCATGGAGTATGACTTCAACTTCCAGCTGGAGATCCGTGGGCCGTGTCTGCTCGCAGGTAAGAGGGAGCTGCCAGACTAGTGGGGACCAAAAGAGGCCCCAGGGTGGGAGAGCTTCAGGCTAGAAGCCACCAGGAATAGAAAGGAAGAGCAGGGCAGGGGAGCCAAGCGGTCTAGACAGAAGACAAACCGAAGCACACAGAGCTTTATGGACTCCCGCTCCCCATTCCCCCATAAGCAGCCCAAAGTGGAGCCCTCCCCGGACAGCTTTCACGGCCACCCACCCCCACCCCACTGGCTTCCTCGGGGAGATGTCCATTGGGGAATGGCGGTTCTTGGTTCTCTCGCAGAGGCCAGAGCTGCTTCCCCGTTCTCGCCTGGGGAGCTTTCAAACGTACCTCAGCCTAGATCTCACCCCCAGAGATTCCGGGGTGTGTCCTGGGTATGGGAAAATTTGAAAGCTGCCCAAGTGATTCTAACGAGCAGCCAGAGTTGAGAACCATTGCTCTGATGGTCCTTCTCACCAACCACGCGGGGCTTTGAGAGGACACGAGGACGTTGTTTCTGGTCAGCAAGTGTTCTCTTAGAGCAATGTTGCATTGGATCGAGCGTTGAGCTCTGTCTGTCTGCTTGGCGACAAGCTGGGGCTTTCTGTGCCCTATAAGGAAGCAATTTCCTCTGTCCCCTACTGGGCAGGAAGAGCCATTAGACGCTATCTTTCTAATATCACATTTTGCAGATGGGGAAATTAAGGAGGCCTGTCCCTGGTCACATAGCAGGTTAGAAGACCCTAGTGGAGCCGGCATGGCAGTTATCTCTGGCCTGGGTCTCAGTGTCCCCACTGAGCTCCTATCTCTCCCGAGGTTTCTGAGCCCATCCCCCATGCCTTTCTGTGCCACTCAGGGGTGGAGAGTCCCACCCACGAGATCCGCGCTGATGCTGCCCCATCTGCCTGCTCGGCCAAGAGCATCACCATCACCCTGGCCAACAAGCACACCTTCGACCGGTCTGTGGAGATCCTCATCCACCCCAGTGGTACAGTGCCCCATGGGGACCCCTGCGCTGCCTCTGGGAGGGAGGAGGTATTGATCCTGTGGGGACAGACACATGGCTTCCTGCCCAGCGACTAGGTAGGGCAAGGGTAGGGGGTGTGTGGCAGAGGAGAGAAGACCAACTACCTGCCTCCACGGAGACTTGGCTCTAGCCGGTGGAATCAAGTGTCTCCTGCCCTGATTCAAGCTCCAGAGGTCCAAGGTCTCATCCGCCCATTGGGGCACTTTGCCCCCAGGCCAGCTGAGCAGAGGATCTTTGAAACCCTAAGCTCAGTGAGACCCTGACAGTTCTGTACTCTCAAGGAGCAGCTCTTTTATCTCCTCAAGAATTCACAGAATGTCAAGACCTGGGAAGATCAGAGAGTCATTTAGCCCTGTCCCACTCTCATTTTACAGATGGATAAACTGAGGCCCAGAGAGGGGCAGTGAGTCACCCATGGCCCACACGGCTGCAGGCAGCCAGGGATTCCACCCCCCTCTTCCAGTTGGGAGTCCCCCTCTGTGAAGATCTTGCCCCTAAACCAAGGCCCCTGGCCTCCCCCTCACACAGTACACATGTGCTGAGAGTTGATCTCACCTCTGCAGAGCCCCACATGCCACATGTCCTGATGGAAAAAGGGGACATGACCTTGGGAGAGTTTGACCAGCACTTGAAGGGAAGAACAGATTTCATTAAAGGGACGAAGAAGGACCACAGTGCAGAGCGGAAGGTGAGGGCAACTAAAGGAAGGGTCCAATGGGGCAGAGCTGGTGGCATTGGAAACTGGGTCTTCACCGAGCCCGAGGTGGAGGAGGTGACCTGCCTGAGGCCACCAAGCAAACTGGTGTCAGAGGCTGGACAGGAAGTGTTCCCTTCAGTGGGTGGGGCACCGCAGGACAGATGGAAAATGGACCCCCAGAGGCGGTAGTCACCCCAGCTCTGTCTTCCCACCTCCTGCCAGGTCACCTTCTCTTAGTACCTCCAAGGGGCCTAAGCCAGGCAAAATTCATAGCTAGTGGCAGAAACAGCCTTGGCCTTCTCCAGGCTGCTCCGCCCTTCAGGGGCACTCATTACCATATCGTCCTGGTTTATTTCTTTCATGGTCCCCATCCCTCTCCAAACTGATCTTGCTCATTTGTTTATTTCTTGTTTGTCTCCCTGTTCTAGAATATTCTTAGGTTTGGGAATGATGGCATACCTCTTTTTATTGTCCTCCTTTTTTAGATGAGACAACTGAAGTTTCTAGATAACTAGTGAGCTGGAGGAAGGGGGAGATTGTTATCTGGGGAGTTAGATTTGGTGACAACAAGGCTGAGGAATGAGAATCGATCATGTGGGGGCAGCAGGGCTGGACTGAACAGCCCCTTCCATTCCCTGCTGGCCTAGCTGGCCCAGGGGGATGATGAGGGGACAAATGGACAGAAAGTATGGCTGGCTTTCTGCTCGAGTTGTCCCCATTGTTAGAGGCCCCACTGGAAGCAGCTGCTGGTGGGAGCAGGAAGGATGGCGAAGAGAAAGCATACGTGGCTCAATGCCCATCCTGTCATCCCCATGTTTAGAGACCCCACCGGAAACACCCACCTTCCCGGAGGTGCCCCCTCACCCAGATGAGTCAGTTGAGAGAAGGAGCTGGAGCCAGATTCTGAGTGGGGAATGGCAATGTCAGGGGTGCCACCAAGCTCTGAGAGCTGCGGCGTGTGGGGGGCGGCAGGGCGGGCGATGGGGCTCCCAGACCTGAGGCCGGTTGCCCTGCCTGCCAAGCCTTAAATCAATCAGCTCTGGGACTGCCGAAGCAAACGAGAATTAATTTACCACCTTGGGGTGGTGATGCAAATAGCCTGTATTCTTGTGAGCTCCAGGGATGGCGGTGATCAGCCCATGGCTGCTAAGAAGTGATGAGTCTATTGTAATTGGATAATGGCAGCTTGAGGAGACATTAGAGAATCCTGAGCCAGGGCACCCCACCCCCATCCCTCTGAAAGGAAGAAGTCAGCTTTCTGGAGGTGGCTTCTCTCACTGGCAGATGTGGCTGTTGCCGCCTTGGACTCTGTCATCAAAAGACCCAGTCTGGGCAGTGGCCTTTGGCAAAGGGGCTCTATGTAGGAAGGAGAGCAAGATCCCTCACAGGGAAGTAGATGGTCGGGGGCATCCGGAGGGCAAGTACCAATCAGGCAGAGTAGGTGGGACAAGCTGTCAAAAGCTGTGATTTAGCCAAGAGAGGGCAAATGACACAGAGGGAGACACCATGTACAAGAGGCAGAGATGCAGAGAGAAACAGAGACAAATCGAGGCAGAGACTGAAAGAAAAAAACCAATGTACACACAGGTCAGTGGTAGACAAAAAAGAGCCACACAGATTTATTCTCTCACTCATTCATTCCACAAACATTAAGTGCCCGATAGATGTCAGGCTCCGGTCTAGGCACTGGGCGGACAACACTGAAAATGGCACATCCCTCGTCCTCTTGGAGCTTATGTTCTAGAATGGGGAGACAGACAAAAAGTAAACAAACGAGCATCACCAGTGCGGACGGGTATGGGGACCATGAAAGACATAAAACAGGAAGATGTGACAATGAGTGACAGGCACTGGGTGCCCTTTATAGCAAAAGCCTGTCTGAGAATGGGACCTGGAGGACGGTGAAGAGCCCGCCGAGAGGGGAGCGGGCAGAGAGGGCGCAGCACGTGTGGAGAAGTGGAAGCAGAAAACAGAAAGAAGTTGCTGCGGCTGCAGTGCAGAGAGCGGAGCAGGTAGAGATGAGGTGGACAGGGACGCAGGGGTCAGGCCGTGCAGGGCTTCATAAGCCATGTGTAGAAGCCGCGCTGGAGCTGGAGCAAGAGAATGGCAAGAATCATCACTCTGGCTGCTCCATGCAGAATGGACCACGGGGGGGGAACCGTGGGAGAAAGAGGCTGGGAAGAGGCCATTGCAAATGTCCAGCAAGAGAGGGGTGGCAGCAATGGAGACAGAGAAGAGGATGAGTTGGGGGAGTATTTTAGCCGTAGGATTGACCATCCTATGCTGAAGGATGAGATGTGCGGGGTGGGGAGAGAGAGGAATCAGGGATCACTGCTGGGTCTTTGGTTTGAGCAGCTGGGTGGGTGGCGTCGTCATCTATCCAGATGGGGAAGGAACCCAGATAGACAGAAACTGAGAAACAGACACAGAGAGATGCAGGCACACATGGAGACAGCCAGATAAGGAGACAGAGAGAGAGCAAGCCGGGGTGGAGGGAGAGAAAGCAGAGGGAGGACGGAGGGAATGAGATTCTGTATGGAGCGACGGGAGAGTCGGGAAGGAGGTCGTGCAGCAGTATGTGGCCTCAGGGCCAGCCATGAGGCCACATAAAAAGATAAAGAACTGAGCGCTGTCCCTCCTTTCATGTTTCCTGATGCATCTCTGTACCAGGCTCTCTGTCAATTTGGGAAGTGCGAGGGAGACTAAGGCATGATTTGCTTTCATGTCGTGTACAAGCTAGAGGGGAGACGGGGATGAGAGCACAAAACTGCATTCAGTGTGAGAAGTGCCTGGGCCCCCCAGGCAAATACCATCAGCAGTGATGGCAATGGGTGGCAACTGTCCAGAGACAATTACTCTCTGCCAGGCAGCAGTCCCACAAGCGTGCCATTTAATCCATACAGCCACTCAGTGAGGCAGTGCTCTCATCCTCATTTCACAGATGAGAAAACTAAATAATTAAGTCCACCTGGAAGATCAGGGCAGGCTTTCCAAACAGGTAAAATTTGAAAAATGAGTAGGTATATATCAGGGGGAGGAAATCACTATACCAAGGAAACCAGGTTCACAGCCAAGATGAGCCAGAGAGCCACTTACACACGGAGTGTAAAAGCGAGAGACCCTTATGCAACCGAGGGCCTCCCGTCTATGCACTAGCTCAGTGCATCCTCATAACCGCCCTGAGAAGGGGACGTTATTCACCCCAATTTACAAATGAGGAGACAGACCCAGAGGAGGGACTTGCCCAAAATCACACAGTTGCATAAAGACAGAGCCAGGATTCAAACCAAGTCTTTTTGCTTGCAAAGTCCATGCTTGCTGTCACAATCTGTGAATGTCTAGCAGACAGAGGAGCCAAGTGCAGCCAACCTGGAAGTCTTTTGTGCAGAGTATGAGTGAGATCTTGACAACATTTGGTGAGTGATGGGGACCAGCATGAGTCCCAGGAGTATCTCTGGACCCCTTGATTGCCCAAGTCAGAGAGTTTTCCTTTCTCCTCCAGACAGAAATCATCCGGAAACGCCTCCACAAAGACATCCCCCACCATTCTGTCATCATGCTCAATTTTTGTCCTGACCTCCAGTCCGTGCAGCCAAACCTGAGAAAGACCCGCAGGGAGTTCATCTTCCTCGTGGACAGGAGCAGCAGCATGAGTGGCACCAGTATCCACCAAGTCAAGGTACCAGCTAAGAGGACCCCTTCCCTGGGTCCAGGTCTCCAGGGTAAATCAGCTGTGCTCCCCCAACCTGGCTTCCTAACCTGGCTTCCTCAGCACTTTCTGTTCCAAAAAACAACTTTTTTTTTTTTAGCAGTTCAAACGGAGACTCCCAAACTCAATTTGCTTCCAATATAAAACCCTGAAGTGGTACGAGCAGAACTTTTCTATTTGCAAGGGGTGAAGCCATTGATAGCTGTCCTTCAAGTTCTACAAACTTTTGTCGTGTGCCTGTTCTGGCTAACACACCGCACTAGGTTCTGAGTGGAGAGGGGTACAGAGAAGAGAGGAAGGAAACTGACATTTGCCCAGGGTCTGCTGTGTGTCAGAAACTGCGCTAGCTACTGAATGCACACATTGGTGTTTAATCCAGACCACAATCCTAGAGGATTGTGACCATTGTCACCATTTTCCAAATGGAAAAACTGATCCTGAGAGTTTCAGCCATTTACCCAAGGTCACAAAGCTGGTGTGGTCTAAGATTTAAACCCATGTCTATCTGACTATTCCCACCACCCAACATCAGAGATTCATTGGACATGTCTTGTGCCATCCAAGAATGTGTAGAATCCAGTAGAAAAGATTTGGTTCCTCTTTTCTTTTTTTTTTTTCAAATGCCTGATATGTGCAAAGCCCTGTGGTTGGCCATCTGCAAAAATAGCAAGATGTAAACACGGCTTCTGCCCTCCAGGAACTTACAGTCAAGTGAGGGCACAGACCTGCTAGCCAATCAGAGTGCCTGAGCGCTCCATGCAGGGTGGAAGAAAGAGTGATAGAACCACCCAGCCCCCTCCACCAACTATCCAGAAGAGCTTCATCCCCCTTGGGAGATGATTTGTCTTGATTATTTCATTATTCAACTTTCCCTTGTATTTTTAGTTGTGCAGATATCCTGCCTCCTCCTCTGGATTTATAAACTCATTAGGAGGAAAAAAACAGATCTTTCTCATCTGTCTCTCCCCATGGGGCCTAGCTATGTGTTTATGCATAAAAGGCCCTCAGTCTGTTTATTGAACTGGGGGAAAGGATCATAGTTCAGGAGAGCAAGGGATGAGGGAGCAAGAAGAGAGTGGGACTCCCATCCCTTCCCCTAGTTTGTCCCTGGAGCAAGCTCTTGTTTCCACGGCAACAGGCTTAGCAAGGAGAGGAGGGGTTAGGTGGGATCTGTGATGCCAGCTATCTCCTCGGGCTTGCTCTGACTGGGTTTTGTCTTGAAGTAGGACAGAGAAATTGTATATGAGACCAGCCAGTCTTGGTCTTGGGTTCCTGTTTGAGGCCTCTTGACACTGGGATGCAGGACTGCTTGGAACCTTCTCCCCACCCCTGCTCACCATCGAAGGCAAGAATTGGGGTGGGGAGCTGTCCGCGGTGCTGGGGTGCTGAAGCACACTCCAAGCCTATATGGTCATCTGTATTCCATTCCACAGCCATATCAATTTGTAAGACGTCTCCTCAGTTACTTCCAGAGCATCATGGAATTGTAAAGCTAAAACATCCCTAAGGGAGCATTTAATTCATTTTCCCCTTGTTTTCCAGGTAAAGAAACTGAATCCCTAAGAGTCTAAGTGCTTTTCCCAACATCACAGGGCTAGTGAAGGAGCCTGAGCCATCTATATCTTGGTTCTGTGCTCATTTTCTTTACATTGTTTATGGGGAATTATACATACACTTCCACAAAAAAAAAAGACACTTCTCTTTTGATTATGTCATTTCTGCTACCTGGCATCATGGAAGGAGCAGTTCCTGAGTTCCAGGATTGATTCTGTCACTGACTTGTTACATGACTTTTGAGATTCTGATTCTCAGCTCTGGGCTTCATTTGTTCTTTCTGTAAAATGAGAAGGAAAGATTGATCCAGGGAGGGAAAACATATGTCACAACCTCGGTTCTCCTCCCCCAAGTCCAGGCAGACATCAATGATTGATCATAACATTATTTTTTCCTGCTTAGACTCAGTCTCTATGTCCTTCTCATCCCAGTGTTCCAGACCATTGCTACCAGTGAAATGGAGTTGGTTTATAAGTGGAAATCCACTTCTTAAGTGAAAGATCTTTCCAACCTTTGCATTCCATAATTCTCTGACAATAACTTTTTCTGGCTCACCTTTCAGTCCCCTTTCCCTTTGGAGTCTCTTTTGCTTTTCTCTAGTTCAACTCACTGAGCTCAAGGTCACCCCTTTATAAATGGCTTTGCATTGGTGTGATCTATTCTGATAAACACAACCCTTTTAGAGAAAGGCACAAAAATTACTCTGGCCACACACCCCTTTCCCCACTGATAATGAGGGTACTGGGAGGTTGCTTGGGTCATTAATTATGGCCCACTGGGTTGGTTTTAGGAAAAACTAGGCTTAGGGAGGAGGGAGAGAATAGAAATCCAAATAGCCCATGCCAAAGGGGAGAGTTCAGCCAATTTAATTTCCTGCAGCTGGTCTCATTCTCGGCTGCCACTTGCTGCCAAAAACATGGTTTAAAAATTCTAATAGGTATGAGCAGAGACAATCTGCATGGATCAGCAGTGTCTCCTGCTAGCAGAAATATGCATTAGTGGCCAATGGAAAAATAAGAAGATATTGACTTCTTTTATAGAGACACAAAATGTATTGACACAGTCAATGAAAAGAGACAGAGAGAACACTGATGTTAATGTTTAATGTTAACGAATGCAGGGCTGGCCCGGTGGTGCACTGCTACAGTGCGCCACTTGGGAGCGCGGCGGCGCTCCCGCCGAGGGTTCGGATCCCACATACAGACCGGCCGCTCACTGGCTGAGCGAGGTGCGGGAGCAACAC